CTTCAAGTGTGTGGTTTCTCTCAATATTTGAGGATGTGTATCTTACTGTAGTTGAATCCTTCAATATTCAGCATGTGGACTATATGTGGTTAGGATCATTTCAAACACAAACATTTCCCAGACTCTGTCAATGTTGTTCTAAGCCTCATGCATTACTCGAGGCTTATGCAGCTTTACGTTCAACGTCAGACTTAAATGTGTATTGATGCAGGGTTATTGTTAGGACTGGACCATTTCTGCCAACATTATAATCTCCTATCTATCTAAAGAATACCCATTTACTCATATTGCAGTAAATGTCTTTAAACTAACATCTAGCCAGAACAGCTCTGTATATTTAAGAGGCTAAACTGTAATCAGATCAGAAGTGAGACAATATGAAAAAGGAAACCCTTTGACAAAATAATTGTTTAATTCATAGTTCTTAAGGTAAATTTGATCATTTATCTTGCCAGTAAACCAGATTTCTTATTAGTAACAGGGCTCCAACATCCCACAGCTTGCAGAAAAGTCTTATATGGTCCTATATGGCGTGCTTTATATCCCGTCATAAATGTCAATTTAATAGAATTAAGTGCTCAGTTGTGATATGCAGATAACTGCAATATATAGTAGATATAGATATAGATAGATATAGATATAATATATAGTAGACAATAGTTTGCTTTAAATGAACTATATACTTGTAAAGCCACTGTTCTATAAGATGTTTTGTGGTTTTCTCATGAGGAGCACTCTGAGACTTCCCTTTACTGCCTTTTACTGTCAGGCTTTCACTTGTTCATAGTTATTTTAACAGTTTACCGTCCGCCTCTCCACCGCTGGCCTCGCATATGTATAAACACCATCATGTTACCATTGAACCTCAGAATGAACACCAACCACTGTCAACCTCAACATTTCCCCAGACCCCATACAGAGAGCGCTGGGAAAACATGGAGAGTTTGTAAAAACAAAGTCCACAATCATTTGAAGGGTTTTCTGTCCCGTGAGGCTCCTCCCCTCTAGACCGCATCAAGCTCCTCCCCCCCTCAATGCAGCCATGGCGGTTGGGGTTGGCTAATTAGAGGGTTGCCACGGGAACGGAATGGCAGCTTGGCCAACGAGTGTAATGACAGGGTGAGGGAGGAGGGCGGGGTCAGATTATAGGCCCGGCAGTATGCTGAGTGGAGCTCAAAAAAGAAAAGAACAAGTAGAAGAAGAAGTGAGTGAGAGGGGGAGAGAATGTGAAAAAGAATATGAACATGAGAGATGTGAGGAGGTAGAGGAGCTGCGAGGGTAAATTAACAGTACAGGGAGAAGCTGATGAATGAACGAGGAGGAAAGGAAATTCAGGAATTGGGGAATCAAACTGTGGGTGTTTGAGAGGAAGACTGAGTGAATGAGTAAGCATGTATAGCTCAGTGGTTTCCACATAGACGTTTGTGTACTCTGGCATGGATTGCCTGATGTAAGCTTCCACTCAAAGCTCTCTCTGACTGTGAGTGTGAGTGTGTGTATGCGTCCAGGAAAGGTGTCTCACAGCCCACATTGGAAAGACTCGGCCTGTTGTCACCATGGCAACAAACAGGAAACGTTGTGCGAGTTTTTATGCAGCCGAGGCCGGTCACCCTGACAGTTCTCTCTTTCCTCCTGTGTGGCCGCTCCATTCTTCAAAAGTCAAACATCCAGTTGGACCACAGCTAAAAGAGGACAAAAGGCGCTCAAACTTAAGGAGCTCAGTGTATTTTTCGGCCTCTTGGTTTTAGGACTTTTACCACGTTATGTGAAGGCTGCAAGTGGGCTCACAACAGTGTCATCATATCAGCTTGCACTTGGCAAAACCACCACTGCCCAAAACCACAGTGCACAGAGTCGCCAGTTTGCCTTACATTTGCAAAGACATTATAATTCTCTTTTGTCCTGCTTGTGTTCGTCCTATTTAAGATTAAACTTATTAGCGAAAACTTACAGACTTATAAATTCATATTGTTTGGCCCCTGCTGGTGTACATTTGGCATTCCTCTCAAGTCAGAAATGAGTCACTGGTATTCCAAATAGAGGTGATTCACTCATTCCTCACTTGAATTCTGCAACAGGCTTCTCTGACATTGTTTTAACCAGCTAATGCTGTTGCCAATACTGTCTTGACGCATACTTCTGTTGCACAAACCAGAAGCAGAAGAATACGTCTCTCTGTGGTGTCTCAGTGGATGTTTGCAATCCTTCAGTTGTTAATGTTCGACTACGTGAGCTCAGCTCTTCTTACTTTCTTTGGATACACATGTTGAAATGAAACCCATCATGTTTTCCAACTTGATTTCATATAAGTGGCGTTCAGAGACAGTGTGGCTAGTTAACCACCAACCGAATTCTGGTGAGTTTCTGAAAACTAATATGCCACCACCCACTTAGTTTTTTCAGTTTAGCTGGTAGAAAGGCAGGTGGTATGCAGTCTGAACCCAGACTTAAGGGTCTGCAGCCATTCTAGCAGCTCTGTGAGGCTGTATTTAGGCACAGTGCTGCAGATAAATGGTTACATTAGCATACAGTGTAATAAGTAAAATGTTTACCATGTTCAACATTTTAGCTTAGCTTGTTAGCATGTAATCATTGCTGAGTATTACAATTTAGACCTGAGCTACAATTCATCCTAAGGGGGGCATGAATGTATGTACCATATTTCATAGTAATCCCTACAATAGTCCCTACAAGAGGAAAAGTCAGGGAATCATTAGATTTCATCAGGGACGGCTGGTATATATAGGCTAACAGGGCTAAGCCTCCCCTAACAGTAAAGATGAAAAACTATTATTAAAAACCATTAGAACACATTGTTTTGAATTTTGGGTAGAACCTAGAAGCAGCAACAGCACCAAAAAAAAGTGACCAGAAAAGAAAAACCAGGGATCATATTATATATCTTGGGTTTTGTTTCCTAGTGAATGGCGCTAAATTCCATTCAGCCCAAAAGGCTGACCTTTTGCCAATCAACAGCGCAGTATATCTACAGTACGTGACATTCGACCAATCACCAGCGCCAGTAATCCTACAGTAAGTGACTTCGACCAACACAGCGCAGTAAGCTACAGTACATGACCTTCGACCATCAACAGCGCAAGTATCCTACAAGTACAGTCGACCGTTCGACCAATCACCACGCGCAGTATCCTACAGTAGCAGTGATCTTCGACCAATCACATCGCAGTATCCTACAGTACAGTGGACCCTTCGACCAAAGAAATCAAAGGGCAGTAACGCTACAGTACAGTGAGACTAAGTTGTAGTATGGCCGCGTTTAGCGATGAACATGAAACGAGGGTGGACTTATTTACTTAAAGAAAATTGATTATAAAGTCTTTGGTGGAAAATTGGAAGTACAGAGATTGGGAACACATCGATCCAAAGTTGATGTTCAAATAAACACAAAAGACAAGAAAAACAAAGTCGTCAACTTTTTGTTACATGGTTGCCCCACCTCCGGCGCACCGAAGACCTGGCCTAACGAAGGGAATGTCGAGGTAGGAACAATTGTCAGTTTTGCTGTTTCCATGTTTCGCTGTTTGGAGCGAGACAGACGGCTTGGAGCCGAACAAGACATCTGTGCATTTAAAACACAGTTTATGCCGACAAAAATTAGGAAACATCGAACTGGCAGCACGAGCCACATAGCCGTAAAACGTTGTCATCTTGCTGGGTAACCAGGGGAACATTTGCTGTCAGCCTTAATGAGCGGTCACTGGCGCATCACCTGTACGAGAGACACAGACAGGAGCTGGTAAAGAACAAACAGGCATTCACTATCACCGATGTGGACTGGTATTCACATTTTGTGGGGGGACATGAGCTTGCCCTGCGAGGGGGTCCAACGAAACTCTCCCACCCTTTACTCGCCGAGTCGCGCCCGCGGACCGGCGGCCAGTTCGTCCTTGCTTTCTACACAGTCCAATAACCCGATCACCTGTGAACACACAGGGTTGCGAAGTACCAGGTCTAAGACCACAGATTCTCTCAAAAACGCAGATATTAATCTGAACTGCTGCACCACAGATGACGATCAGCCAAAATCCAGATGCTGCCCCCCCACCCAGCAGCTGAAGCGCCGCGCAGGGATGCAGCGCTCTGATAATGTGTCAGGTGGCCCGCCACAGTGCTGTGACTTAGATGGTGCGAGAATCAAAGCGCTCCGCTTTGAGAGAACGCCGGCACCTTGTGTGGTGCTTTGCATGTGCACATTACCCAAGTGATCTGGCAGGGAGACAACCTGAAAAGGTGAGCCTTGATGTGAGGTACAGCAGGTGGAGGTTGTGACCATGGTGTGCCGTGTTAAAGATACGGTATGGCCCACAAGCTCTGAAACACTCCTCTCGTTTTAGTAGATTTATTTCCTGGCGTAACCATGGTCGTCTGGAAATTGTTGCTGGGCTACTGTTTCTAAATAATGTTTGTTGTACGCAATTGGCATCGTGGTCCGGGATGTCGGTACAGAGGAGAGAGAGAGAGGAGACGAGAAGAGAGAGGAGGAGAGAGAGAGAGAGACTTTTTTTTGGCATCCAGGCCATTTGGGTCCGTTTGGGTATGTCGTCCCCAGTGTTGCCGTATAGTAGCACTTGCCGTATCAACAAAGTATCAGCAACTGTTTTTGCTTCAACGTCTGATGTGATGGCCTACTGTTGCGTGCGCTGTGTGACGTATTGATGAGTGTAATGCATGATTGTTAGCCCACCCCACCAAGAATCTCCACCCAGCGTCACTGGAACCTGTCATCCTCGTGGGAACCATGGAAAGCCTGATTGTAATTACACGTCCCTTGCCGATAATGAAGCCAAGCGGTGGCACATTATCGACTGAACCAATGTCAAATAAAATATGAAGATCTACAGCATGCAATTCTGAATTAACAACTTTATTTCTCTTTTCCACCATCCTCTGTCCTTCATAGGTATGCAAGTATACCTGCAGGTGAAGAGGAGGTGTTGGTGGACGGTCTCCACTGCCACTAGTAGAGGCCAGGGGATCAGCTAGCTGGCCTAGCAGTACAAGGTAGAGCAAACACACAGCACACACATTCAAAAACACACAGCACACACACACACACCCACACACAACACACACACCGGCGCGCCTGAACAAACATCCCATGTGAATAATCTATTGGGGGGGGGGCAGGCAGCACAAGAGAGAAAGAGTGAGCACAAACTCACACTTTCTCAGGTCATCTTGACTTTACTACCTAATATGGCTGCATACCACTGGGGGAGAGCCCAGTCCACTTGAGTTCCTATGGTATCAGTCTTACACACACACACACACACACACGAGCTCACTCCATCTCCTTGGTCTTGTTCCTGGGGGCTGTCTGTGTCTCAGGGGGAATGTAAACAGACAGTTAGCTTATCGCTAGTTCCAAGGTTAGCCTTAGTAGCATCAGGAAGACCCTTATCTGTCGGGAGACGAGGATCCTGCACTACATCCTTTTGTCCGACAGACAGCAAAACAGTACTTAGGATGCACTCAGAGGCCCTATCTGGAGGCCTGGGCATGTTATGGAGATGGTGTGCAGGTGTTGTAGACATATTTGTTTTAACTACATACACAACATTTTCTGTTTGTAGTTACAAGGAATGAGAATAGAACAAATCAGGGAGTAATTAGCTGGTCCAGCTACTTCTACTCTGGTTTCTGAGAAACAAAGACTATTAGCCAAAGTTGAAATATATTACTGTAAATTTTGCCTCCCTAATAGGGGATCTGTGCAAATTTCTTCCCTAGAAAATGTATATAACACTCCAGAAACTTGGAAAATAAGCTTTAAGCTATATAAAAAAGCAAAGTTTAAGCTACTTAGCAATTTAATAGTCAACAACCACAGTCTTGATATCAAAGTAGATTACTTAGAACAAGCAAAATATGTTTTATTTAATTATTTCCTGGTGGAATAAAGGAGAGATTTAGAACTCAGATATATTTCTTTACCTTGGTGTTAATTGGAAATATTGTAATTATCTTTGCATGTTTTCTTGGACACAAATGTTGCTCACAAAATGTCCTTAGAAATTAATTAGATTTGACCTTATCTTATGGAACTATGTGCCTTGTTAGATGAACGTAAACAAAAACAACAACGTTTTTAAAATAATAAATTCATTGTCTGTTCATACCATCTGGAGTGTGAATGTTGCCCTACAGTTTTCAGTCTCTAAAATCTTAACACCAAAAAACATCACATTGTAGGCAAATGTTACATTAACATTGTTTTGTTTTTTTAACCTAAAACATTGTAAATGTATGTTTGTATTTTCTAGCTGACTTTGGAGACTTCACTCAGTTCATGTCTCAGGACTTCCTTAGGGAGTACGTTCTCTTTCCAGTGGTGAGTCCTCAAACCTTTACTGTTCAAATATGTGTGTGTGTGTATGTATGTCTGTGTGTGTGTATGCGTTTCACCGTGTCTTGCCTGAGAGTACACATTCTTGTGTCACCTGTGTACCTCCTCCTTCTGCATACCTGATTGACAGGCAGAAAACAGAGAAAGAATAAGCAAGGATCTGAGTGACAGTGTGGGCTGAGATAAGGATCTAGTGGATACCAGATTTACACCTTCTAACTGTTTGACAGGGTGTTGGAGAAAGGGTGTTTTAATAGCGTGTTCTCTTTCTCACTGAGACTCAACACTTCTTCAATTTGCTATCTCTCATCTGTCATTAATCCTCCCATCACTTGTTGCTTGATTCTCCTTCTCTTCCTTTCTCTCTCTCAGAACTGGCCTAATGGAGACGAGGTGCTGGAGGAGTGGACCCAGAAAGTCGCTGAGGAGCACAAGAGTCACTGGTACGGCCAGCTTTGTATTATACTGTGTGCACATGTGGAAAAAAAAGAGAGAGAAAAGGAATCGGAGATACTTTTACAGAGATACCTTGCCTTACGTACCTGGCACTGCATCTTTCTGTACTTTGTAGTCGGATGCAGGCTGCTGAAGCAGAGCTGCTGTACATCAAGGAGGTGGAGAAACTGGACGGTTTTGGCCAGGAGAGCTTTCCTGCTAAGGTAGATAAATTACATCCTGCTACCCAGACACACACATCTCTACAGAGTAGCCAGTTTCCCTTGATTAAAAGAAGGTTTTACTTATGATATTAATTCTTCTTCCACAGGACAACTACACCAATGATATTTTCATCGGTGTGTCCTTCATTGGGGTGTTTGTCAAACACAGAAATGGCAGATCCATCATGCTCCACAAGTAAGTCTCCCGCCATCGTTATCTATTTTTTTATAGCCTGTATGAATTTTGACCCCAATACAAAAACAATTACTGCAATATGCAAGAAAATATTTTGATTTACGTGTGGGAAAATTCAATTCTCCTGTTCATTTTGTGTGTGTGTGTGTGTGTGTGTGTGTGTGTGTGTTTCTGTGTGTGTGACAGATGGAAGGACATTGGCACCATAGCACACAACAAGTCAGCCATCACAGTGGAGATAACAAGCAGAGACGACACCATCATTTTTCACATGGTGAGTGTTGTGTCTGCAGGTGGTCTCAGCACACACACACACACGCTTTGTTTTTTTTCTTTTACAAGGTTTCTTGTGGGAAGGTAAACAAAAGAAAACACACATTGTCAGATATCCCTGCTCAGACACAAATACAGGGGGCAAATTCTGTCTTGATTTTCTATAAATACTTCTGCTGTGTTAATTTAAAATATCAATGTTTTTCTCTCTGTGTCTGTATCTGCAGGAGGATATGGAAATGGCCAAGTACATCACTCGTCTTTTCACGGCCAGACACAAATTCTACAAACAGAACAAGATCTGTGCAGAGTGAGTCTCGAGGCCACTAGAGAGGCCAGCTGAAGGCCATTAAAACACATATCCACTTACTTAACACATATCCAGTTGTAAATGTCATTTCACTTTTCTAATAGAGTTCACCACACTTTGGAAAGTTATGTAAAAAATGTAATACCAAAACAAATTGTATAACTTTATTCTTGAACTGGTGATAATGAGTTCACAGTACTTTTAGTTTATTAATCATCGCTCTGCTTGTTTATGAGTCATCTTCTATGCTGTCAGCTAATGTGCTTGCTTCTCTTTAGGCCCACTCACTCACCTGCACCAATCAGGAGGAGACCCACCTGGACCCCCCGCCTATCTCTGGTACCATCAGAAGCATTTGTTTGATATGGTTCTTATTGCCCAGTGGTTTGACACAGTCCTGTTTATTATTGCCTCTGGCCTTTATAGAGGGAGAGGGAGAATTTGGTAGGGAAGACAGAAACGGCCGTGGTTAGAGATTTGACCCTGCTCTCCCACTCAGGGAAGCTCTTAATTGTGCCATGGAGCCTTGGTTTTAACGTGCATTGGTGGTGTGGTGGGTGTTGTTGGAAAGTTTGCAAGGGTGTTGCTTGGTCTGATTTCCGGTGCGACAATGAAGGCAGTGATTTGTGCGTCTCCCTCCCTGCTGGCCAGACAATAGCTAGGCTAAATGTGGCACAATAGCTGTTCAGTCAGTCCAGAGTGCTCAGATGTCTGTCTGGAGAACCGCAGGCATTGCTGCTTGACTACTCCACGGGCTTAGGGTAGATCTAAGTACTTTGTAATGCAAAGAAGATTAAACCTATTGAAGATTGCAATGTGGCATTTAGAGTTTTTTTCAATGTATGTAGTTAATGATAATATGCACAACTTTATGGAGTATAGCAATTAATTGCATCTTCCTAACTGTGTTGCATTAAATGTGTTTCTTCATTCAGCCACGGCCCCAGTCCTGTAACTTCCAGTCAAGGCATTCCCAGTATGGAGAGCATTATCAGGACACACAGAGCTCTCAAGGTAAAAACACATACACACAGACAAACATGTAGACAAAGTTTCAACCACTCCAGCACACTGCTTTGACCATAGTGTTTGAATGGAGCTAATTGTGTCTTTTCCATCCGTGTGACTCACAGCCCATTTATATTTTAACAATCTCCCAGCCAATTAGATTCCATCGTTTGGGGTGCAGAGCAGTGACCTCATTTGTGCCTCCGTCTTTCATTGACTTGTTCACACACTCAGTCCGCCTTATAATCCGACGAGCTTCACTCATGTCGGCTCGACAGTAAAAACGGAGCGAGTGGAAAAACATTCTGGGTGTGCTACTATGGGTGGGTGTGAGATCATTCTGTAGTGTGACCTCAGGCATCGCACTCCGTTTGTGTGGATGGAGAGTATGTATGTCTGCCTGCTTGTGGGCTTGAGATAGTTTCACATGAGAGACTGCACTGTATGTCGAAAAAGAGAGGAATAACATGCATACCACTGTCTCCTTCATTATGGTGGGAAGAAAATATTCCAAATCTATCCTGTTCCAAGTTGGTACTACTACTACTACTGGGAGGACATTTTCGTATTTTTCTTCCACGGTGGTTGATACTGCAGTGCAATCAGAGCCAAACAATGAGCCACATCAGAAACAACTTGAGGGTACTGCTCATCAACAGCTAAAAGAATTTAACCAAAACACTAGAATCACTGTCAGTACGGCATTGGTTTAATTACTTATCAGCTACCCTCCACTCAGAATCGGGCTTGCTCTATAGGACAAATTTTATCATTTCAGGAAAATTTGGTCCCTCCTTCATTAATTTATTATGTTTCTTTTTTTTTGATTTTCTGTTTGTTTTGAAACTCTTCACTATGTTAACAGTGTGTTCTTGTGTGCTCATCATGTTCTGTATTTTTTGTACCTGGTTTACTTTATGCAAAGCTGGAGCATACAACTCTACCCACTGTTTTAACACTTGGTCTTCTTCCTTTCTTCGTCCTTTGATCTTTAGACAGTATCTTCCATGATGACCCCTACTACAAGTCAGAGACCAGTCTGGACCGGTGTCCGGTGGACTTTCCCTTCCGAAACGGTACCGTGCCCAATGGAAGCATGTACAGCAGCCCCAGCCTGAGCTCCCTCAATCATTCCCAGACTTTCGTCCCGCCCTCGCCCATGTCCTCCAACCTCAGCATCCCTGGCAGTGAGCTCATGCGCACTGACTACATCCCCAGCCACCGCCACAGCGCCATCATTGCTCCGTCCTACCGGCCCACGCCTGAGTATGATGCTGTCATGCGGCAGAAGCGGCGCATGCTTCCCGCTCACCATGACCTCCACAGCCAATCGCTGCGCAGTCTGAACATCAGTAATTCGTGTGCTTACCGCCAGCCTGAGGCTCTGGTGTACAGCCAGCCAGAGATGAGGGAGAGGGGCCCTTATCATGGCCTGGGGCCTAGCCCGGGAACATATACACCACAGGTAGAGGTGGATGCTCTGTGTTAAAAAAATTTCTTCTTGCTCCTTTCTATAGCTCACACTTTTTTTCTGTGAATGTTCATCTTGCAGATCAGCTACAGTAAGCCAGTGTCTCATGGTCCTCATCAGGGAGGACCAGCCAGCAGCCAGGGCCCCTGTCATTCACCCTGCGTTAATGGAGGTGGAGGCAGTGGCGGGGTTGGAGGTGGAGGTGTAGGAAGCTCCATCTCTCATACTGTCAGCACACCTGAGCTGGCAAATACCAAACAACAGGGGACTAATGCGGGAAGCTATGCAGCTACAGCTAACATGCTGAGAAACCACATGTCTCGCCCTCCTCCACCTTACCCTTCCAGCTCCTTCCGCCCGGCCACCAGCACCCCGGACCTGGCCAGCCATCGCCACCGCTGCATCGGGGGCAGCAGTCCAGAGCTGGTTACTCGCATGGTGCAGCTGTCGGTCAAGACCTTCCAGCCGGACAGCTCAGCTGTTGTGCACCAGTCCCTGCAGGAGGTTAGCGAACCGTTAACTGCAGCTGCTAAGCACCGCTCCACCCTGGGCAAAAGACACAGCATGGAGGTGATCAGCAGCATGAGAGGAGGCGGAGGAGGAGGGATGGAGGGCATTGTGATGAAGGGCATGAACGCTCCCCTTCACCGGAGGAATACTCTCAGAGAACACGTGATGCCCCCTCAGCCTCAGTCCATTCCTCAGCCTCAGCCCCAAACCCCTCAACCACAACCCCAGCCGCAGCCTCAACCTCCACCTCAGCAGTCGCAGGAGTTGCCCATGCAGATACCTGCCCAGAAAGCACCTGAGGCATCTGCAGCTCCACCTGGGCCAGTGGCCTACCAGCATCAAAAGACTCTCTCCAATGCTACAATGCTCATACACAGCAGTGAGAGTGAAGAAGAGGAGGAAGAGGAAGATGAGAGGCCTGAGCTGGATGTTCAAATCCCAGGTCTAAATGAGGACATCAGCATCAGCGCTCAACTCCAGGCTGCTCTAGCTAAGCTGCCCAACAAACCCCCTCCAGAGTACCCTGGTCCTCCTAGGCCTTCTAGCAATGTTCAAATCCGCACCCACACCCACAATCACAACCACACTCACCACCACAACCATAATCAAGGACCCCAGAGCAACCAGGGACCAATGGACCCAAACCAACCCCAGGGCCGAGCACTCAAAATTGGGCAGAGCCCCTGTGGTGGCGGGCCTGGAGGTGGTGGTAGTGGTGGTGGTGGTGGTGGTGGGACACTGACCAGAGGGGACCAGGGTGGGGTTAATGGAGCGGTTTTAGGTCCATCCATTTCAGAACCGGACCTTACCAGTGTGAAGGAGAGGGTGAGGAAGGAGCCAGTCAAAGAGAGGCCGGTGTCAGAGATGTTTTCCTTAGAAGACAGCATAGTGGAGCGGGAAATCGCTCAGAGGGTAAGACAGTCATTTAGTTTATTGTATAGTTTATTTTATTCTAGTGCCAACATATTGTTAATAATACATGCAATTTATAAGTGCTGAAATGGTAAATTGATTAACCATTTCTGTATTTTAGATTGTGTACTTTTTAATACTATTTAAGGGCCACAAGAATCAACAAAGAAATGAGAATTCTTTGTTGGTGCTTTAAGTAAAATAACCAACAGGATAATTGATAAAATCCATGAGAATAACTGTTAGTTGCAACCCTAATATAATATGAAATTATTACAATGTATAAGCATTAATTATATTTATCATCATAAACATAGCATCAATAACAGGCTTGATTCTTTCTTTATTTTATTAATAATTATTATGATTTATTTAACAGACTGTGCACATTAATAAAACATTGCTGTAAATGTGTCAGAGTAAGCCAAGAGGCTATTTTTCATCTGTACTCCCTAGACAAATGTTACAAAGTCACCCTAAAAACAGAATATAGGATTAAAATAACAAAGTCATTCAAAGTCAAATACTTTCTAAGCATGCAAACAATAATTATGACACATAAGTTCAAATCTTCATTCCACAGAAGCTTTAAAGCGACACATCATCTTGTACTGCACAAAACACCCCCCACCATGCTGGTACAATTTCAACTATTTCAGTCTGTTGTTTGCTAGCTAGTTTTATAGCCCCTGATTAGCAGTAATCCAGGGTTCAGAACCTGAGAGGGTAGCACTAGGCTCTGAGTCCCCCCAGGCAGCTAAAACCCTCATAAATCCCTCAGATTATTCTTTGGGTTTGGTGTTTTTGTGTAGGTTGGCGCTCTGTTAGGGCACAAACATTTGACACAGCACCAGAGTCCAGGTATAAGTTAAATCATATAATCGCCTCACTTAGTTGCGATAAACCTTTCTGTTCAAGAGTGACCTGGCGTGGCCGGCTGTTTATAGTGTGATTTGATTCAAAGTGTTAGTGTTACTTCCATCTCAAAGCTGTTATCCCTAATTTGTACCAGCTGGTTTATCTCATACCTGTGACCCCCAATCTGTTGTTGTGACTGTCCCACAAAGAATGAAGTAGGTGGAGAAGTGAAGGGTGGAGCTGTCCTGGAGGTTTAATAGCATCGGAGATTAGGAGAGGTAATCCGCGGCGGAAGGAGGGACCGTGCAATGTGGGTCAGAGTTTGGCTAGCATGGTAGAGAGGAAAAAAGACAGGGTGACAGAGGGAGTGTGTGTCCTTTGAGGAAAAGGAGGCCAAATAGGTAGGTGGGACTAAACAAAGGACTGAAAGAATGATAAATATGTGAGGACGGACAGAATCAGGATGAAAGCATCAAAAATAAGTTGAGGGTGAAGTGAGATAGATAAGAAGCTGCAGTCTACTCTTAATAGGCTTTGTATACGGGGCTTGGTAGTCCACACCTTTGGACCGAATACAAGGGGATTGGTATGGCCAGGTTTGCCCTACAAACAGGACGCACACATGCACACACACGTCAAATTCTCCCCACCCACTTCTACACATGCACATGTGCACGCTCACTGTTTTGAGGCCAGCGCAGGTCAGTCAGTCTTGCAATGCTGCCGGTACCTGTAACCATGACACCGGGATTTTCCTCTCTCTTGAAGACGCTGGAAAGACAAAAGATGTCTGTGGACTCCATGAAGAGGCCGCTGATGATGGCCGCCCTAAATGGCCTCTATGTGGCCCGAATGCCTGTCCCCGAGAGTCCTGCGGAAGAAGGCGCGAAGGCTGCTACTGATGAACGGGTAAAATGTTTTCTCCTACTTTATAGAGCATAAGATTAAGAAAACTGTATCAGGAAGTGTTTTTTAAAGAGCTAGCTGTTTTTCAGTTAGACAGTGTGTGTCATGGATTAATAAATGATGGTGTTATGGTTGATATCATTTCAGGGTTTTTTGTTTCTGCTCCATTGTTATAGATCTAACTCTGCCCAAATCTTTTAGGATGTATTATAATGTGAAAATTATGGGTTTATTAATGTCAATTCTTATTTGTAATTTTATGGTTCAGTAGATACAAAGCAACCATTGTACAGCTTATTTTTTTACTTGCAATTGTTCAAAATGGTTCTAAGAGAGTTTTCATTGAGTTGGAGAATTAAAAAAACCTCCAAGGCAAAATTTTACTTTACTTTAATGATTGTAGGATTAATGTCTAATTTACTGGCGCCTCACCCATTGGCAGTAACAAAGGAGGGATTGTTGTAAAACTCAAAGACAGTCTCTGATCTTTATTTTGATAAATATTTGATATTTAAAGCATTTCATTTCACAAAAACTGTGTTGGCTCCCTTTTGAGTGTGAAGGTGTGAAACCCAGCCTTTGTCCCGACTGTTGCTAAGCTAACGGGGGCAAGCACTAAGTGGGCTGTGGAACGCGTGGCATGGTGGTGCTTATCGCCTCTAGGCCCGTTGGTATGTTAAGAATGTGACCCGAGAGAGAGCAAGCGAGCCACACAGAAAGAGTGATAGACAGAAAGAGAGAGAGAGAGAGACGCTGCTCTCTCCAACTTAACTGGCCTAATAAACGCGAACCCCAACCAGGATGAATACCACCACTGCATATTCTGCTCTTTTACAGCTGTGTTGATGCATTATGCATACTTTGAGTTCTTTGATATAGAAGTCAGTATTCAGCTGTGAGTGATGACGAGAGTTTAGCAATGTGGACGTATATTATAATGAGATTTCTGGATTCCCTGGTCTGAATAGTCTCTTAGGTATGGTGGAATGTAAACGAATAAAAGCCCCTTGGGGACTGAAAGAGAAAACTCTGAATGATCTGTTCCTTGCAATTCAATGACTAACACCCCCTCCTTTCTCTTTCTTTCTCTCCAGTGTAAGACCTTGGAGTTGAAGCTGGAAGAGGAACGGGTCTTCACTGAGTATGAGCAGGTTCCCAAGAAGAGGGCAGACTGTGTTCTTACGACAGCGACTCTACCGGAAAACACAGAGCGCAACCGTTTCCGTGACGTCGTTCCGTACGAAGAGAATCGGGTCGAGCTTGTTCCAAACAAGGAGAACAACACGGGCTACATCAATGCCTCGCATATCAAGGTGCGCTCGAGAGATCAAGGGTAAAAGTGGAAAAAGACACTTTATGGATGATTATAGCACCCACCTATAGCACTATGATGTGATGGTTTTACTATGGTAAAAAGGAAAAAAGCCTTTTCTTAAACTTTGTAACAATAAATTTTTTCACCAAAATTTGAGATACATCATACTTCAATAGACAGCGCCAGTATTCGTTATATATTAGCCAGGTTTCCATCCAAATGTAGCGCAAATGTTAACTGAATTTCCAGAAAAAAAAAAGTTAAAAGCAAATCCAAATGAATGTACATTTCCATCTCCTACTGTTCTGCAAATGTAAGTAGTTTGTTCATTGAGACAAACAGCTGGTGGCGCTCATTCTCTAGTTGGCTGCCATTAAACCATTAAAGAAGAAGAGGGAGGTACAAGATGATGTAATTAAAACAGAAGTCAAACCTCAAACATTTGAAAAACAATGTAGAAACATAATGGAAATTCTTCATCACATAGATTTCTTGGCTGCTGCATCTTTCTTCTCTGGAGTGGAAGCATTTTGATTTTATCGATACAACAACTTTTCCATCTCGGCCATCTTGCAAGCTTTTGCAGTATTTCAAATTTGTTGTTTTTTTGTTTAGATTTTTCAGCATTTCCACTCATGTTTGTTTTATGCGGAAATTTAAAATGCTCATAAAAACAGATAGATGGAAGCACACATATAAATGTATACAATCATATAACAATAGATGTTTCCTGTGTCATTTTTAAGTCACACTTAATCATCTGTCAGTTTTCAGTGTGAACTTATAAAGAGAAAAAGAATCACATTGACTGGTAAAACAGTCACATTTTGTAGTGTTGTATGAGATTCAAACTTATGTTTATGGCTCTTAATCACAGTTATAGTCTCAAAGTGCATTGCATCACCCACATCATACAAAATAATTTAAAACAAAGGGCATAAACTTGATACATTCAGCTCTCTGCTAGTCTTTGTTGTGGTCATTCTTAAGCAGCGAATGGCTCGGAGGAAAGGATGAAAGGCAGCTGTGGAAGTCTGTTTGGGCCTTTAAGCTCACAGAGCTTGTGGAATTCCCAAAGAATGCGGTCCAAACTCCAAACCCTCTTAAGTCAACCTGAGCTGCTCTCACAGCAGCCCCTGTATTCATGCTCAGTTGCAAACAGTGTATGCACACAGCTTGTGTATATGCATGAGTTTGCATTTTGTGTGTATGCCTAATTGCAGTCTGGTGTGCGAGTGCGATCAGCAAAGCAGCACTGAATCGCTGCCTATCACGGTGTAACCCTCTTACTTCCCCCCCGTCATTTAAGGTAGCTGCCACAGAACAAAAGGGCTTGTTTATTTCACATCCATCTCCTAATACTGTGTTTACAGTCACGAGGTGGCCTGAGGAATTAGCTGGGACATGCTCATTATGTCGTGGCACGACGAGGTCTATGTAGCTAGAGTGTGTTAAAGATGGGAAGTTTTTCAGTGCTGTGTGATGCCTTGATTTTTAATGAGGGAAAGCAGAAGAACGCTTAAAGAAGAGGGGTTGATAGTTTTATAAATGAGGGAAAAGCCTGTGGATGAAAATTATATTTACACTGCCCTCCAGTGGTGGTTGAGAATAATCAATGAGATTGTCAATGTGTATGAATTAGTTATTCACATATATTTAAAAGCGTAAATGTATTCATTTTGGCTTACGTGTGAATTTTTAATTAATATAGTCAGTAAGCAGCTTTGTTAGTTTACAAATGTGTAGGCTGATTCTTGCACTGCAGTCACTGTAATCTCCATATGTGCTTATTGATTCTTTATGTGTGTGTGTGTGCGTGTTTTCCCAGGTGATGATCAGAGGGGAGGAGTGGCACTACATTGCCACCCAGGGCCCGCTAGCCAACACCTGTGCCGACTTCTGGCAGATGGTTTGGGAGCAAGGGGTCAACGTCATCGCCATGGTTACTGCAGAAGAGGTACCCACACACACATATGCACACACATGGCACACGCAGATGTGGCTATTTTTCAGCGTCCGACAGCTGGTGTCTGTCTGTGTGGGAGAAATAGGACGAAAGCGAGAGTGTGTGTGTGTGTTGCTGTGTGTTTGTGTTCATGTATAAGCGTCAGAGCTCATGGTGTACATCTATTTTCCCTCATCCCCCTCTTTTTTTCTTTCCTAAAATCACCCATCCATCCTCATCTTCCATTTAGGAGGGTGGCAGGTCCAAGAGCCACCGCTACTGGCCCAAACTGGGCTCAAAACACAACTCAGCCACTCACGGCAAGTTCAAGGTGACCACCAAATTCCGCACCGACTCAGGCTGCTACGCCACCACAGGGTTAAAAGTCAAACACCTGCTGTCTGGCCAGGAGAGGACGGTCTGGCACCTGCAGTACACTGACTGGCCTGAGCAGGGCTGTCCCGAATATGTCCAGGGTTTCCTTGGTGAGTGGGATTGTGTCGTCGTTATCATCATTATAAATGTAAAGATATGAAATTCACTGTACCTTCATTATTTAATATCTAATTAAAGGAATATTTATGCTTATTCACTTTCTTAGTGAGTTAGACAGGAAGATTGATATCACTCTTATGTCTATGTGGTAAAAATGAAGCTAGAGTCAGCAGGCCGTTACTTTAGACTACCTACCTTCTTCCAGTCTTTAAGCTAAGCTAAGCGCCTCCTGGATCTAGTTTCATATTTATCCAGCCAATATGAGAAAAGTATTGATATAACTCTTGGCAAGAAAACCAATAAGCATGACTGTGATTCCTTTAAAAAAGCCACACACACTGAAAATATGTTATTATGCAACAGAAGCAGTTAAACATATTTAACAAACTGGCAGACATAATGCCCACATCTGACCTTTGTCTCCTTCTACTTTCCTTCAGCCTATCTAGAGGAGATCCAGTCTGTGAGGAGACACACTAACTCCATGCTGGACACCTCAAAGAGCCTCAATCCACCTGTGGTGGTGCACTGTAGCGCCGGGGTGGGTCGCACCGGAGTTGTCATCCTCACTGAGCTCATGATCAGCTGCCTGGAGCACAATGAGGTGGGTGCAATCAGGGTTGCAAATTTAAGGGTCAGATTGGGCTCTAATTAAGGCTTTTGTCATTTTTAGGACCACAGCTTTTCTGTGACAGGATATATGTATCACAAGTACCACATGAATTAATACACAGCTTAATTGTTTGGATGAAAAACATAGATTTAGGTCTTTTATTTTGTAAGGCAGACTGTGTAAGTTAAAACACTGGAAGCAGCAACATGGGGTTGTTTGAAAAATAAGACAAATTTGCAAAACACTTTATGTACATTTCTTATCCAAGTAGGCAGACCAGGGAAATCCAGGTATTGTCCTTACCTTATTTTACTCAGTGAATCCTTATTTGTGGGAGAATGTAAATACATGTGACAGGGGAGGAGGCAGGTATTACTGTAGCTCAACACAATTCATTTTACAGTTTACACCACTAAAGGATTTGCTCTAATTATTTTCTTCATTTGATTCTTCTCCCCACCCCCTTCAGCCAGTGGAGGTTCCCACCATGTTGTCAGGGCTGAGGCAGCAAAGGATGCTGATGGTGCAGACCATCTCCCAGTACAAATTTGTCTACCAAGTCCTCATCCAGTTCCTCAAGAACTCCCGCCTCATCTGAGCCCGGGATACTGACCTTTGACCTTATACGGCATGGCAGAATGGCACCAGATAACGACAACGGTACTTCAGATTAGCACGAGGACAGTACAACTAATACAGTGTAACTGATAGCTGGTGGGGAGCAGATACAGAGATTTATGTTTTCTATCAGGCATTTTCATACAAACTCACCTCAAGGGAGGATGGGATTTGTGTAGGCCTGTATAGAAACTGACAACCATTTCTCCTAATCTGTGTATTCATATGTTATTCTTGGACCTGGTCCGTCTGTACGGAGACTGTATGTTTGTGTGTTTTCTCAGTGCAGGTCAGGTGAATAGGTGTTTTTCCTTTTCAAACAGATTGATATTGGCTTTTTTTTTTGGAACATACAGCCATACATCAATACAAAAAAGTCTCAGTTTTTCAAGTTTAAGATGCTGCATCACCTCCTTCAGCCACTAAGTCCAACTCTGTGGCTTCTTCCAGTGGAGAAGGACCAATCTAAATGCTAATAAAGTTTAGTTCCAGAAAGGTTCTTATTGGTCTCTCCTGCTGTGGCAAAAATATCAATGATAGCATCCAGCTGAATTACCATTTTGAAAATATCTCACAGCGTTTTGAAGATTTTATTCCAATAAGTTGACCAATTAAGACACTGCCAGAATGAGTGTGCTAGAGAGGCAGGTGAGAGTCTGCATCTGTCACAGGTAGAATCTACATCTGGGAACCTTTTAGTGAGTTTAACTTGAGCCAGTGCAGCACCTTGAATTGAATGAGGCCATGCCAGACACAGATTGAGGCCATATGCACCTCTTCCAGGGCGTTTCTCTACTGCTCCACTGTCACAGGCATCCCTTAAATCCTCTCCCCAAATAAAAGATAAAAGAAAAGTTTTTGAGTGCTCAAAGGAAAACCGAGATTCCATAAGTGACTCATCCGGCAAACCAGGAAAGGAAGGTGTGTTGGCTTTAATATAATTACGAACCTGCAGCAATCTGAAAAAGTGGGATTGTGATAAATTTCATTTATTTTGCAGTTGTTTAAAAGCAGGAAATATTTTATCTATAAAAAGGGTCTTCATGCCATTCCGTTTCCTAAAACCTGAAGTAGTTCTCCATGGTGGATGGGGAGAAAAGGTGACTGGGACAAACAGGGGCAAGCAGAGAGACGTCCATAGTTTTTTTTGTCCTAATAGTGGACCATATTTTCAAGGACTGTGTTACAAAGGGGTTGTTCTTAGTTAGGCAGGTTATAGTCAGGGATGGCAGGTAACGCAAATTGTGTTCCATTTGCCCAAATGCGGCTGTAAATTTGTCATTTACTATTCAGCCATTATTAAAAATGGCACTATGCTGCATGAACAGTAGGTGGCAGCAGTATTATTACTATTTCCTATACTCTGAAAGAGTTTGCCAAACAAAAGTATTCTTTGAATCACAGTTCTAAAATGTTTCTTTTATTTTTAACAGAGTATTGATTAATACAGCAAATATTTACTTCAACATTATAACAAATGTTTTTATTTATTTCTATCAAGATTGTGGTCACCTTTGCATTGAACGGAGGAGCATTGACATGTCGATCCTTGCCCTGTCCATTTTTTTTTAATCTTTAGAACTTTTTTGCTATGTATTACAAAAATCTTTCCTTGTCAGTGTGAAAATGATTGTGCCATTTTCCTCCTGGAGTTTCCTCATTTGATACATTGAGATCCCTCCTTCACATGCAAACAACACACACACAAACTACATTTTCACGGTTTCTTGAATCACAGCTTCTTGCGATCAAATGTGTTTCATCACATTTCTTACCTAAAAACATTTCAAAAGCCTAAAAGGTGTTTGTCCAATTTCTTGGAGATGGTTTATAAATTAAATTGTATTGTTTGCATATGCAGTCAATAGAGAACTGTGTCCTTATACAGTAAATACTGTATATACTGTATCATTGTGCCTTATTGAAACATGAAACTTGGAGAAGCCGCCTGGCAGACATCCCAATCCTTGTTTTAGGGTTCTGTATGGGTTTGATAAACTAAATTCATTTTTTTTTATCTCCAAAGGTTAAATCTTTAAATCAGTATTTAATAATTTGTGTTTTGTTATAAGAACAACTTAAACATTTAGAAATAAGTTTACCTAACTCTTTAAGGATTTGGCAGTAGGAGAATGCTGATGTCTTGGTTTATTTTTGAAGGATCGTTTGTAATAATCTGATCCAAACCCAACAGAACACTACATTCCCACCTTCCTGGATCCTGTTTATAAAATTACATTCTGAAGAATTTCCTTTTAACACGTTACATTAAATAAACTTTTTTATTTTTATGAATCGTAATGCAAAGCCAGCCATGTCCACAGTAACTTTGTACATAATGGGCATGTGAGAAAAGATTTCTACAAATGTTTTATATAGTTTCTCTTTTTGACTTGGTACCCTAAAAATACTGCAACATAATAAACTATGCATGCGTTTTTATATTTCAATGTATATATTCTTAAGTAAGTATAAGCTTTATGCTCTCTTGACATATAAGTGTTTTGTTGCACTTCTGTTCTCTTTGTGACAGTATTTTCTCACACGGCATTCCACTGTTTGTTTATATTTAATTTTTCCCCTTCATTTTTTTTGGCAAAACTTCCAAATACCTTTCAAAGTATGTGTACATATGTTTTGTATATGCGTTTTTCAGTGCATCAAGTCTTTTGTTTTTCTCTCCCCAGACATGTATGAAGCTGTCGTACTTGCTTATTATGCAATAAAGCCTTATTTTCTTTAAGACTGTGGCCACAAATTCATTTATTTCTGAATTTTGAAATAATTTTCTTTTTGCTGGTAAGACAGTGTCAAGGAGACATTAGTCACAATTAGTGTAGAATACTCACACAAGGTGTTAATGCAAGTATGTATCCCAGCCCACCATCCTGACTGGGGCACATTCTGCAGCTTTGACAGGCCTGTGGTGAAGCAGCTGTCCTGATAGGCTGACAGGCATTTTGTTGCATTGACCCCCTACACACATATGTAAACAACTCCACTCTGATGGATGACAAGGTCCAGCTGACATGTCAGTCAAAAGCCAAAACAAACACAAACTCGTTACAAATTAGGAATTCTCACTCATTATGGTCAACATGAGTAATTTAACCATTTAACAAACTACAGTAAAAGGTTCTTGCATACAAAACACTGATGTAAAAAGTTAAATCTTGAAAAAAATATATTTTTTCCATAAAAACATGAATGCGCTCTATCTTTGCTTCAGTACCAAAAAGAGTAGAAAGTGCCTTCAGTTCTGTAAGTCTCCTAGCCAAAGGAGTGTATGCAGTCAGCTGTGTTACATAATTTCTTTCTTTTTTTTCATTTTTTAAGCATCTCTTTGCGCAGCTCTGTCAAGTAGAAGTGATCCTTCCCATGAGCCACCTCCATTATGGCCATTGCCTGTGAAAACACACAAACACATATCATTTTACAACATTTTACAGCATGCAAGTACGTACATGAGTTCTAGGTCTGTGTATATTGAACCTTTGTGGTACCAAATGAAACGTGTAGCAGTGCTGCTCGGTCCAATGCTTGGTCAAATCTGTAATCGTTTCCTTGATTAGACAGTTCTTATTAGACCGAATTTTATTTAGTTTAAGTTATGGAAAGTCTCCTTGAGTTTAGACAAAATGTTAAATATGAGAGAAAGCCTTCCTTTTGAACATTAGAACATAGGTTTTGTCAAAAAACATCATATATATATATATATATATATATATATATATATAAAATAGTAAAACACTGAGTTGGACAAT